TGCCACTGACCTCCCTTCTCAAAAGCACTGATGGTCGCATTGTAGCTTATAACATCTGGGGGTACTTTGTCTTTTTGCATTTCCTCAAACACCAACAATGCCTGATGCCATTGACCGGCTTTCTGACACGCACTGATCGTTGCATTGTAGCTGATGACATCCGGGCATACGCAGGCTTTCTGCATTGCTGTGAACAAATCCAAAGCCTGCTTCCATTGACCCCCCTTCTCACAAGCACTGATGGTCACACTATAGCTGATAAGGTTGGGGATTAGTTGAGCTTTCTGCATTTCATCAAACAACACCAATGCGCGCTGCCATTCACCTCCGTTCTTGCAAGCACTGATGGTTGCACTGTAGCTGATGAGAGTTGGGGTCACCTTGGCTTTTTGCATTGCCTCAAACAGCATCAATGCCTGGTGCCACCGACCGCCTTTCTCACAAGCGCTGATCGTCGCATTGTAGCTTGTGACGTTTGGGGCCACTTTGGCTCTCGGCATTGCCTTGAACAACTTCAATGCCTGCTGCCATTGACCACCCTTCTCACAGGCACTGATAGCTGCACTGTAGCTGAAAACATTTGGGGTCACCTTGGCTTTATGCATTGCTTCGAACAAATCCAATGCCTGCTGCCATTTTCCTACCTTCTCGCAAGCACTGATAGTCGCACTGTAGCTGACTACATCTACAGACACCCTGGATTTTGGCATTGCTTCAAAAAGTCCCAATGCCTTTTGCCATTGACCTCCCTTCTCAAAGGCACTGATAGTCGCATTGTAGCTGACACTGTCGGCAACGGCTTTATTCTCAAGCATTGTGTCAAAAAGCCAGCAAGCCTGTTGCCACAGTTTTGCCCTTCCACAAGCTGAAATTCCACTTGTGAAATCGCGTTCATTGGGTCGAAATCTCCCATTCCGTAGGATAACCGCAAAAGTGTCCACGATCAATTCCTGGCGTCTCTTCTCAACGAGCCTCTGCACGATGTTATGAAAGTTGCCTCTGGTAGGCCTCAGTCCTGTGATTTCTTCAACCAGAGGAACATCTTTGGACGTCCTTCCGTCCGGCCGTGACTTCCATCCCCGGGTTCCAAACCATCTGCGACCGTCGTTCGGGCGTCTGCCAGTGCAACGCAGCATGGCAAGAGCGAAGCGCTACCGCAGCGTCCGGACCGAAGTGAGCTGCAGCAAGCACCAAAATGTCATAGCCGCTGGTAATTAAACGTGACGAACTGGAACATCACCATTGTTAAGAAGGGTACATCATGTTTATCATCTATAAATGAGCAATTTTCTTTTCGCAAACAGAGAGTAATATGTCTTGGCATAGTAGAAATGCATGGTAAATCTCAAAACCATCGTTTCCACAATATCATACAATACCACCAGCAATGCAGCCTTGCCGCCATGAGAATGCATAAAATCAAATCTGTCCCTTTCCACCCAGCAAATGCAAAAAAAAACAGGTGGCGAACTGATGATGTTTGGCACCACACTATTTTTTCGGGCCAGGTGGGTGAATGCATGACCTGGGTAATCAGCAAGTCCAATTCGCGGCCAATATCACCATACTTTGCAGGTGGTAGGTTGAGTGAGCGTTTCTGAAAGGTCTTTTTCTGGGATGGCTAAAAACACTATGTTTGCTGTAAAGAAAAAAGAGATCATCTTTTTCTGGTGAAAACATCTGAACACCCAAATCTTCATAAATGATCATAAATGATGAAATACCCAGAAAATTCTTGTAAAATAATCTGAAAAGCCGGGAACTCCCACAAAAATGGCACCATGATTTGTGCCAGAAGTTTCATCGCCTGACTGCTGTGCTCCACCAGATCTGCGATGCCCCACTTTCCTCGGACCTCGGAGCCGCGTTTGATCAGTTTCTGGTGGAAGTCAGATGAGATCACTGGGCCAATGGCTGGATATACCCCTAGGGTAAACTAAGGTAGATGTGGAAAACCAAAGGTTTCCGGTTCGAAAAAATCATCTATATTTCTGGTGGCTTTGCCGCATCTGCATGAGTTTGCAGGAGGGTATCTAGCTCATCTTGTTGGGGTTGTACAACGGTTACCTTTGTTAGTACACCGTTTAAAACTGGGAGCTTCCTGTGAGGGACCCAAGAAATCACCAAGATCATTCGTCTCTACTTCTGGACTCCATGGTGTGGGCGGTCCCCAATCTGGGGGCCGCCAAAAAAGCTCGATCTTCAGGGCTTGCTGAGTGAAAACCATTCCAAAACTAGAAGTGTTGTGGGCAAGTTGTGGGCGGGTTTCCCTTAGTGGCCTCAGTAGTTATCATTGATGTCATGTCTTTCATCAGGATCACACTTAGATCAGATCAACAAGATCATGAGCATGGCTAGGTACTGTGGAACCCCAAAATTATGTTGGATCGTTTGATGACTCGTACCCTGCGTGAATGTGTCGCTGTGTGTCCCACTTGGAAAGTTGATACACATCCATATATAACTGGGGTTTTAACCAGGATCATTAGCCAAATACCAACTGGGCTGCACATCCAAGTATGTTCCTCTGCTCACACAAAATGCTTTTCACGGCTCTTCTGAAGCTGACAGCTGTGCTTAGCACAGGAACTTCCACTGCTTGTGCCGCCACAGAAATACGTATGGCTCAGACAAGAGGTACCAATTCACCCAGAGGGCAATCCGTCCACCATCATCTGTTCATGACCTGGTGGGAGGATGTGCCGCTGAAACAAAGCAGGAACATAAGCTGCAAATGGTGGGTTTTGCGCATTCACGTTAATGACAGTCAAGGTAGGATCAATAAAACATACCAGTAAAACCCCCTCTTCGTAAATAACCCTGGGCCCCTGATTGTTTGGGCAGTACTAGAGTCAAATACATGTAGACACAAATACAGATCTTCAACGATTTTGATGCATATGTGACATACATACATTTATGTATGTTTATGTGACTATATAATATCTGGTTGGTGGTTTCAACCCCTCTGAAACATGATGGAGTTCGTCAGTTGGGATGTTATTCCATTCCCAACTGTTTCTGGAAAGTCATAATCCAGCCATGTTCCAAACCACCAATCAATTATTAATATTCCATTACCAGAGGGTTAATCACCATTAAATCACCATTCATATCCCTATTAAATCACCATTAAATCACCATTAAACATCATTAATATCCCCATTCATATCCCTATTATAGATTATTAACCATTATTAACCATTATTAACCATTAAATCACCATTAAATCACCATTAAATCACCATTCATATCCCTATTAAATCACCATTAAATCACCATTAAACATCATTAATATCCCCATTCATATCCCTATTATAGATTATTAACCATTATTAACCATTATTAACCATTATTAACCATTATTAACCATTAAATCACCATTAAATCACCATTAAATCACCATTAAATCACCATTCATATCCCTATTAAATCACCATTAAATCACCATTAAACATCATTAATATCCCCATTCATATCCCTATTATAGATTATTAACCATTATTAACTATTATTAACCATTAAATCACCATTAAATCACCATTAAATCACCATTAAATCACCATTATTAACCAAAAATGGTGGTACCCAAAATCCTCCAGCGTCCAGCGGCCTTCGTCGGGGAGCTCTAGCAAGCAACGAGCGGAGGTCACAACGAGGGCCCCTGGGGGGTTCCGGTGACCGGTGACCGGACTCATAGGCGATTCGACAAAGGTGGGAAATTACGGAACAAAAAAATGGCTGGTTGGTGGTAGAATACCTACCCCTCCGAAAAATATGAGTTCGTCAGTTGGGATGATGACATTCCCAACTGAATGGAAAAAATAGAAAATGTTCCAAACCACCAACCAGATGGAATCTAATCAACCAAAATTTGGACTGTGATCAGCAAAAACTTGGGTTTGATCAGGAAAAAGGCACATCAACCAGTGAAAATGGGGCTTCACCAACAGAAAGGTGCACTGAAAACAAAGCCATGAGGGAATGGCACGCTTGGGAATGCAAAAACGTCAGTTGAACAGGCGGGTGCACGTTGTCATCATCGGGACTGCTTGAAATTTTAGACTTCCACACCCAAGGTTCCATACATTCAGGGAGTCTTTTGCGGCGGGTCAAAATGCCAGTACGGCAGTGAACAAACCCCAAACAGAGAGAATTAAGTCATTCTATTGGGATGTTAGGGATTTTTGGGGGTATGATACTCACTGATCTTCCCAGGGATATTCATCTTTGGGTGATGCATGACTCTATGTTAAGGTTACCCAGGTTACCCAATGACTCTATGTCAAAATCATCACCTTGATGAGCGATCATTGATGAAAATTTCCAGCAAGTCACTAAGAGTTGTCGAAACCTTTGACAGCCAGAAGTCGTTCACCACGCGCCGCGAAGCCTGCACCGCAACACCAGCCAGCTGTGGTTGGTAGAAATATCGAAAGAAATCTGCATGGAAATGCAGTGAAACAATAATGATACAAGATAATGGCATGTACATATGTGTATATAATGTGTATGTGTATATATATATATGTGTGTGCACACTGTGTGTGTGCGCAATATGTAATTACATATGTCATGTATGATGTTTGGGAATTCCTCATATTAGTGATAATAGTAACGATGCTGATGATGAATGATGAATGGTTAATGGTGACTGGTGAATGATGGCTGGTGAATGATGACTGGTTAATGGTGAATAATGATGATGATGATGATGATGATGGTGGTGGTGGTGGTGATGGTGATGGTGATGGTGATGGTGATGGTGGTGATGATGATGATGATGATGATGATCTAATGATTCAACGATCCAATGATCCAACGATCTAGTGATCCAATGATCTAATGATCTAATGATAATCCAAGGATGATCCAAGGATGATCCAAGAATAATGACATATTATCATAATAATCGATTACGACAATGATATATAGTTTAACATTGCCCCTGCATGAAAAACAAATCTCCCATCCTGGTCGACGGATGAAGGTCTCAGGTCTCAGCCCTGGCCATTCGTGGCATCAGGTCTGGTGGCACAGGAGATGTGCAGATTCTCCTACAGTGTATTTTATAATATGTTACATAATCACCGCATCAGATTCAATATGAGATTTATGCTATTTATGTATTTGAATGTATTTGAAATGGAGTCATTTATTTATGCTATTTATTTGCATCAGAGTTATTTAGTTATGGATAGTTATGGCATTTAATATGCTAATAAGATCCCATCCTCACAGGGTTGGGCTTTCATACCGCTTCTTGTAGGAAATTCTCACCATCTAGACTTCCACTTGTGGAAAGGGCACCTTCTGTGGGATTCTGCATGACATGGCTAAGGAAGCTCTTCCTTTGCTGTGACCATCGGCTGATATTCGCAAACAACGGGACTGAAAATTGGAACCCCCCAAGCAATGTCAAGCAATGCCAAGCATTATAACACATTAGAACTATAGTTACCCTCTGGTTACTTAACATAGCCATGGAAAATGGCCCATTTATGGATATTTTTCCCATTAAAACCTCCATTTATAAGGGATTTTCCATGGCTATGTTAGTCATAACCAGATGGTAATGGATGTTAATGGAGTTTATAAACCAACTTATAACTGGGGGCACCATCCAGGAAGCATCTTCATGAACCATCAACAACAAAAACACTTCCCTAAAGGAGAACCAGGATGGCCCGCAAGGTTGAGATCCCGGACCGTGTCCACGTGTCGAAGCACCTGGAACGATTGGTCCATTGGGATCCTCCGAAATAGTTCACATTGGAAAACTGGTCCATACCTTCGTAGATGTGGAAAATCCATGAAAATCCATGGAAGATCCATGGTTTTCCGGTCGGACTGTCCGACTATGATCTGCATCTCTGGTAGGTTTTCCAGAATGTAAGAGGATGGTAACATTGGGAACGTAATTGGATCAATTTGTTGATGATCTTTCGAAGGGAAAGAGCAAACATGGCCCCTGCCGAAATTTCCGGCCCCATTGGAACCACAGGGACTAGCAGCAGATATGGACTAGGAACCTGACCAACTGATGTTTGGGGGAATCTGTGTAATGTGGTATAAACCATCATAAACCATCTCCAAAATGACCATTTTTATGGGTGGTGTAATCCCAAATGATAGGTTTCTTCTTGGGTTTTTTAAATATCTTTGACGCCAGAGACTCAACTGGGAGAGATGGGTGGACAACTGGGCCAACCAAAAAATCCCGGACCATGGTCGATTTCAGTGGGAAGTGATTTGGCAATCTCGGACCCCAATAAATTCACCTTTTTTGGGCCATGAAATATGCACCAGTGACTGGGAGGCACCATCATTTTCCCATCGAAAGCCAGGTGTAAAATTCCAGCAAATTCCTAGCCATTAATGGCAGTATATCCATTGACACGAGCCCACAAGCTTCAAGATTTGGGGCTGCCTCAAAATGTGGAAACAATTTTGTTGCCCCATACCCATCAATATAAGCCAGTAACCAAAGCAAGAGCATCAAATCAAAAGTATCCAAAAAACAAGCGGATCTAAATGGACTATTCTATTCCTGGTCGATACCCACAACGAGTTCAACGTGTTCGCGTTTGGCACCCTGTAGACATAGTGCAGAATCTCTTCCTCCGTAAAGAAGCGACGGGCGAAGTGTGATGCCCTCGCCGCCTCCGAAGGCCAGGGGAGATGAAATTCACTCCGTGCAGAGTTCATCTGGGGAAACACAGAGATTTGGGAAAAAATATGCGGAATATATTAAAGGAAAATACCTGAAAATACTGGGATACAGTACCAGTCTCATACAGTTTTAGAGGTTTTAATGTGTAAAACCCAAGTGCCAATGATATCTAGAGTCAAATCTGGATGATTCTCAAAGATTTCTTTGCGATTCAACGTTTTAGAAATCAACCAGCAGCGAAGCAACGGCAGGCCCAGGGCACTTTTCATCAAATCCCTGGCGTCGTTTTTTTCACATCAAAATGGTAGCTGTTTTGATATAAAGCTGGATCTTCATCCCCCAAAAAACTGTTATTTTTTGGTGAAAAATAGACCATTTTTTCATAACAGTTTTGGTCAAACATGTTATGTGAAAAATGGTCATGGTATTTAGAATTTTGGGTCTCTCACATGTTGTGAAATCCATGGTATTTTCCATGGTATTTTCCAGAAAATGGATGGTGTCACATGTTTTGACCCATCTCCAAAAATCCATCTGACTATTGGATTAAAACCGACCCAAAATCTTATGTGGCCTGAATCCCCACCTGTGCTGGTCAAGATCTACATTTAAAAAATCAAGATCGACATTTAAAAAATCGGAAAACAACATGGAAAATTCATGTTGGACTGTCATAGAATTACACATGTATCAACAGAAGAACTTTAAGCTATGAGTTTCCGACTTTCTCTCAGAAGTGTTGACCCCCAATTTCAGCCACATATATTTTTCATATCATCTGCAGCCCTGCAACCGAGGAACCATGGCCCTGCAGGCATCATTGTTGGCACGGGCCCATTCCACTTTCTCAACCAGGTCACCTTGGCCACAGAGATCCAAGGGGATCCAAGGGGCGGCCACCAAGGGGATGGGTATTGATGGTTCAAAATATGACTGATTTGACCATATGTTCCAATATGTTCCAATAAAAACATGGTGGGGTGTGGTTGGGGTACCAGTGAGCTTTGAAGAACCCGATTCTGTCTCTGGAAGAAAATGGTACTGAAAACTTGCCAAAATCGATGGTCCCAATGATCTTAATTAACTTTTGGTCCCTACCCAAATCTGTCCCACAAAACCATGAGAGCCTGCTTGTTGAGAGTCTGTGGCCCCATTGAAATAGATCAATATCCAGGGATTGATCGTAATTACTGCTTGTATCCGCTTGTACTTATACTGGCTTCAAACTCAGAATCTCCTTGATTTTCCTAGAGTTCTCTATTCCAAGATATTCCTCCACATTCGTTTCACGTGGCAGGCGTGGCACTTACGGCACTGGGCGGGCTCTGGTGGCGCACCGGGTTCTCAGCTGACGCCGTGGACGCCATTTGTTGCTTCTCATTTCAAATAGTCGTCCATTACAAATTATGGCCAGTCATGGCCAGTCTTGTAGACCCTCAAAAAAAAATAGATAAGTTGTTGGTTAGTAATGCATCCCAAGTTGAATCGCAACTTGGATTAAGCCGTTAAAAGTTTACTCATCTAATATCATCTAATTGGTTGGTCCCAGAAATGCCAGAAATCTCCAGTGGAAATCTTCCAAGCTGCTGAAATCTTCCTTCACCGGCACGAAATGTTTCCAGGGCTGCAAAGCTGGAAGACCTGGCCCACGGCCCGTCCTCCGAAACATGTTTTGAATCCCGGAATCCCTGTGGATCCAGCTGGATCCTCAGGACATATTTGGGGTATGAAAAAATGGCATTTATGGGGCTCACCATGGCTCACCTTCGAAAGTATTTCAATCTCGGCATGGAAAGGTTTAGAGTTTTTCGTGTCCGAAGGCATGTTGGTTGGATTCCCCATGTTGGCTCTCGCTTGAACTTCCTTTGGAATGATCCTTTGGAGATTCCACCATTGTCCGCACCGAAAGGCAGCAAGGGCGTGATTTGCTTGAAGACCTCGGCGTCATCGTAAGCATCGCAAGGATTGACAATTCTAAAACCCAAGCCATGAACTTTGGAGCTGCTTGTACGGGCATGCATTTATTGAGCATATCTGTAATATGGCATATATCATATATGATTGTAACAAAAGTTTTGTCTCAAAAACATGGAATGCCCCAAAATCGCCATTTCAATTATGGTATGTTTTTTTTTAATGCGATTTCGAAGATGTTTCAACTGGGAGAATGGTCACTGAGTCCCCGAGCTAAGGACCCAGAGGACAGCATCCAATAGATCCTCGTGTCATCGATGGTGGACCCATCCTGAAAATCTCAAGCTGAACATAGCTGAAGTCAGGGGGAGGTTGATCATCAGGCATCAGGACTCGATGTTTTAATGGGATTTAATGGGATTTAATGGGATTTAATGGGATATATGATGGTTAAACCTCCTATCAATCGGAACTTCAGGATCCGATTCAATGAAGCTACGTAAACGTACCATGGTTTTTGGCCATATGAATTGTGGGGATATTCCCTGAAACTAAGGCCTCAAAAATAGGCCTTTAAAAAATGGAATCGGTACCTCCAATCAATCGGTTCCTGAGATGGCCAGTGTATGGAATGCACCGAGATCATCTTCGAAGAAACCGGGGATCAATCGAAAGAATGTACCAAAAACGGCAGTTCCATGATGTGGAAAATGCCCTGCTCTGAGAGATAGATCATCAATGATGGGCTCTGATTCTGTGTCTGAGAATGGAGTATAACCCAACAAAATGATCATTTCAATGGGAAAAAAGGACCAATAAAGTATCAAATTTGGATGTTGTCTACTAGAATTTCAGAGAAACCCGGTGATTACGACATATTGTGACTAGCCATGTGACCCACCTCCCCCATTTTCGCGTTAGGCTCTGTGGAGATGAGGTATTTGTAGCGCAGCTGGTCGCTAGGCTGCGTGTAGTCCGCCACATAGCCCCTTTCTTCCGCCATGCCACGAATCCTTGGGTAATGGTGGAACACCCCATAGTCCAAGCATGCTTGAAGAAACTTTAGTCATGGGATTGGAAAATCTGGAACATTTAAAAAAACATTTTTAATGGCAAAAGTTCCCTTTTAATAGTAAAAACCATGCTTAACCCAACATTTAAAGGAAACCCCCCATATTTTCATGGTAAAAACCCATGGTTTCCTGTAGATTGTCCCTTAAACCAAACCAATGACTTAGAGACTACTTCGATGCTAAGATTTGAACATACCGACATGGACCCTCTTCAAGTGGCAAGGCGTATGCTCTGTGGGTCTGTTGTTTCTTTTTAAATATTTTTTTTGCATATAGGACATATATATATAATAATAGTAGTATATTATATATATATGTGTATATATATATACATGTTGTATATGTATAAAGTTGGTGCCAAAGCACTAAAACAAAAAAAGCGCGCCCTGCTTTCGCTGCTGGATAAACCCAAGGATCGAGTCATAAGACTCTGGGATGTACGCCAACTTGGCGTCCACCAAATGCCTGCCGCCAGCACCAACATCTTCGACATGGAAACAACAAGGCACAGCCAACATTGGAAATATGGGGGGTACAACCAACGAAAAAAATGGGGGATACAACCAACCAACCAAAAAAAAGCAAAACTAGGGTGAAATCTGTTTTAAGAATTTTTAAGATTACCATCTGGTTATTTAACATAGCCATGGAAAATCCCTTAAACATGGAGGTTTAAAGGCAAAAAACATCTATTTCTATGGGCCATCTATACCATGGCTATGTTAGTCATAACCACCTGGATGTCCAATCGTCAAGGCCTGGTATGGCCTGTCCGATGTTGTAGCCGTAGCTATTTATCACGCTTTCAGCGAAAAATCGTCATGTTTGCTGTTTCCCCCATAATCTGAAGTGTTTTCAATCTCTATAATCTCTTCATAAGCTGGTTAGAGCCTAGTTTTTGTTTGGCCAGATTTCAATCCGTATCAAATCCTAATATTTGGATCTAGAATCCGCGTTCTTATGGGCGAAATCCCAATTTTTTGCTGCTCAAATCATCATGTGTTCCAGTCCTTTCTTCGCCATGTCTCCTGCTGCGATGATGTTCCTTCTCAAGTTAATTTTGCAAAAATGATGATCTAATATTTACAGGCAACAACCATGCTCCAACAACCATGCACGACCAATGTATGACCATTGATTTTCATTTCAATTGGGATTTAAGAAACGTAGAATGGTGATGAAAAACCGCTACAAATTGGACTTTCCCAGCTCTGAATTAGAGGAAATCACCAAAATCCCCGTACTTTTCTCAGTTTTCCAAATTTTCACATTAAAACCTCGCCGGGCCACGGATGTTTGCGTCCGATCTCGCAGAGCCGCGCGCGGTTGCAGAGCTCGAAGCTGCTCACTGCAGAACGTGCGCGACGTGAACATCTGCAAACCCTCCGGTAAACTATGGAAAATCACCATGTTCAATGGGAAAATCACCATGTTCAATGGGAAAATCAACTATAAACGAACATAGCTATTGAAAATGGCCATAGAAATAGTTGATTTTCCCATTGATAGCATGGTGATTTTCCATAGTTATGTAAACGTTTACCAGAGGGTACAGCCCTGAAATTTCGGAAATGGCAAAGTTCCAGGATCTAAAAACAAACACGCTACTGTATATAGCCATAGATGTTGGGTTCCATATTGCATTTAGGGGGATTATCCTACCCTACCCCTAGACCTATATAGATTTGGGGAATAAATGAACCATATGGTTCCCGATCTTTGCCAGAAAACCAAACCATTGATTAGATTCTCATGTTTGTTGCCTACATTAAAACCCAAGCAATAACAAGTACCTTGCCTTTTACAACCAACAATCAAATAAAGGAAGTTCACATGACTTAACCACCACACTAGGGCTTTAATCGGATTTAACTACAAACAGACACGATAAATAGTGGGCATATTGAGGCAAGAACTGGCACACAAGCATAAGTTGCGGAATAGTCCGCGTAGAACCATCCATAGTCGGGATCCGACCTTTGAAGATTGGACAGTTCACCAACAAAATGAAATGTTGCCAACAAATAGCGGGGATGTATATAACAAAGAAGAACATCTGTTGGGCTGCAAACAGTGGGCATGGAAGAGCAACCTAGCTGCTTACCCTGTAGTCGAACCACAAACGAAAACTTGCTACCTCAGGGTTGGATCAAACAGTGACGGAAGTAGTTGGAATGCTCCACATATATCCATAATTAGCATGGCCAAACAGGCATGGCTCAGATGTTCTGTCCCCAGAATGGTTAATATGATCCTGAAAATCACCAGCCGATCTGCATCGAATTTTCAGCTAAACATCCCCAAACCACGCCCCTCTCAGTTTCACCAGTGCTGAAGTTCCCATTCTTTTTGGTGAACTAATCCAACCTGGGTTTCTGGGTGGTGTTGAGTAACGGCGGAAGGGATTACACCATGTTTTCTCCCCCCTACCCTCTGGTGAACTAACATAGCAATGGAAAATCACCATTTTTAATGGGAAAATCCACTATTTCTATGGTCATTTTCCATTGCTATGTTAGTTCACCAGAGGGTAAACCCTCATCGTCTAACCCGAGGACGCAGAGGACACGGGTTAGACCCCACGGCCCGCAGCCGCACCGTTGGTAATGAGCCGCGTGCATCCGCAGGGCCCAACCCCTGGCGCCAGGACGGGAGGTAGACGGAGGTGAGACTTGGACGCTTCGTGCGGTGCTTGGTATGTATATATATATACATATGTGTGTATAATATATGCTATATACATGTATATATATATACATAATTATATATATACATATACATAATATTGTATATATAATATTATATATAAATATACATCCAATTTCCATGGATGAGAGGGGAAAATCTAGAGGACACCATGATATTTTACTAGCGTGTTTAAGGGTTTCCAGGTTTTCAGGGTTTCCTGTATATTTTCCCATCATCCAATTTTGGGACAATTCCCTAAGAAGGACTTCATGCTCCCCTCAACTGTGAAGCATGTGTGTTTCGGAGTTTCCAAGTTTGACCATATTTGGCTCATTACATGGCGATGGAAAAGCCTTATTTCTGGATTATTTTCCAAGTCAACATTGGGATATTCCAATGTCTCATGAAAATGACTAAATTGCACCCAATTTGTGTGCTGGTTCATCCCCCCATCTGCATGGAACCATTCACATGTTTGCTTGGTTCATCCCCGTTTTGGGTGTTTGCTGTTGAATATCCCATGTTTGCTTGTTCAAATATGCCTAGTCATCTAGTCAAAGTTGGATCTCCATGCTTGATAATTATCGTAATCATTCCCATTCCAGACCCCAGGTGGCCCAGGTCTAAAAACACACTTAGCCACTTGAACAACTGCCAGGCGTCGCTTCCTCTCCTTAGCCAACCTCAGATTCCCTCAGTGTATTCCCTCAATTGGGCGCAACAACTCTACTCCAACCTACAAAAAACCAAGGTTTACCCTCCGGTAAACTAACATAACTATGGAAAATCACCATGTTTAATGGGAAATTCCACTATAAATGGCCATTTTCAATAGCTTTTTGTATGTTTACCAGAGGGTACCCTGCTTAAATCATGGTTTGATGCGAAAAAATCCTGGATGTTCAGTGCATAAATCCAAAAAAACAGGGCGAAATCCAGCTGTTTGCTGATTGAATTTCCATGGTTAAACTGGTTAAATCTCGAGTTTCTCCCCCCGTGGCGCCATCATTTTCTAATGGCTTGGAGCAATCCTGGCCCAATCAAACTTAACTTACTCTCTGGTTATTTGTATTTATTTGTTACATAGCTATGGAAAATCATCGTTTTTTGTAAGGTATCGGTAAACCATCAGATAAACCGATCCACTGCGCCTTCATTCTCAAGCAGCCCCGAGAAGTTGCGCCAGAGTTGCGGCCACTGCGCCTGCCTGGGGCCCACATGACTGTGGCTGGTCATGTCAGATTTTAAGGGGATTTCACAAACCAATTTTTGGGAGTTAACCCATTGATAATGGAATTTGGGTGTGTCTGAAGTAAATATCATGAAGATATCGCTAGGTCACGTTGAAGATATTTTTACTTCAGCCAGTGCTGAAGAAAGGTTTGGCATCCCCAAATTCCCTTGTGAAAGGGGTTATCAAGAACTAAGGTATCCCCACAATTCCAAACCCAGGTCCCAAACCACCAACGAACCATTGGTTGATTACTTGGATCCGATTTGCTCATGGCGGCACTAGATTCCAAAATGACGTTGGGAAAATAACTAGTTGATAAGTGTGATTTACCCTCTGGTAATTTGTTACATAGCTATTGAAAATGGCCATAGAAATAGTGGATTTTCCCATTAATAGCATGGTGATTTTCAATAGCTATGTTAGTCATTACCAGAGGGTAACCAGTTAATAATCGAAATTGCCTTTGTCTGAAAATGGGGTATATGGTCCTGCACCGTGGCCATCAAGAAGAAAACCCCACAATAAACCCGTGGAAATTTCGACCGGATTTTCCGACTTTGAGCCACATTTAGTATGAAAACATCCATTTTAGGATGGGGCTATGATGTTATCTTGCACATGTTATCTGACGTTATCTGGATCATTGATGCTGAACTTCATGATAAAGTCCAAGACAAACAAAAAAAACTAAAGAAAACCTCTGGTAATTTAAAATAGCTATGGAACATCACCATTTCTCATAGGTAAATCATCAAACTAAATGATTATTTTCTCCATAGCCATGTTAAATTGCTGGAGGGTAGCTTAACACATCCAGTTGCCTTGGTGCCTCTACAACCAGGGATCGATGTCCATCCCCAGCTGATGGATTAACAACCAATTAGACTGTGAGCTGCTCATGTGGATGATTGCTTCAAGACATATTCTAGTTGATAAATGTTGATTGGTTAACATGGTTAGCAACTAATTATTGATGATAGTTTAACAATATGGTTCTAGTTAACATGGTTAACATGTGAGTTGATGATAGTTTAACAATTGTGAGTTTATCAAGCACCAATTGATCATTTTGGACAGCCATCAACTATCATACACGAACGATATAGTCAGCGGCATCATCACCTAGCAAAAAACGCACGGTATGCGGAGCTGGCACAAAGGATAATCTGGGCAAATTAAAGTAACTAATTCACCAACCTGACATGTTACGTCGAGTGGATTCACCCTCCTATATGGGTGTTTCTCAAAATTGGAGCACCCTGAATTTAATGGTTTATCATTGTTTTTAGTAATTCTCCATAATAAAATGACCACACATTGAGGTCATTTAAGCCATTTTCGCACAAAAACTATATAACATCATAGAAACCATGATCATCCGCTAAATCCCAATATTTGATGGTGAAATTCCCCATGAATTGGCGGGCGGCGCTCGCCCATCATTAAATGCCTTGGATCACAGCTGCAGCGATTGAAACTGCGCATGCCACCGCGCCAGAAGAGCCGCGGCTCCTGAGTGACTGCCATGGCTATGGGATTGGTAGCTGCATGGGGTATAAAGATTTGGGCTGCGAATAAATCCGCCTACCCCCGGGAAATCAAAGATAACAATGAAACATCCCCATCTACGGATAATGTGTCCATTAAAACCTCCATTTTCATCGGGGATTTCCCAGCCTGCAATGTTTGATTAGCGGAGGGCAAGGATTATGAAAACTAGGATAATAGATCATACTATATAATTGTACTAATCATCTCACAGATCTATGAACAGTAGAGTTTCGACTAGTGAGACCAATCATCTACTTTTGGAGACCTATCATTAGGACAATGGTATCTAACTAAGAATATGGGGAGTAACATACAATGGTATAATGGGAACTGGCATTACCGGCTTTGTTAGGGGGATCAACCAAGTGAATTCGAGGGTATACCGGTATACCCCATTTGTTTGCACAAACCCAAATCCCAAGATGAGGGGGTAAAATCGAGGTTTTGCGTTTCATGTTATTCCATGTTGATATGTAGCGGTACCCTGTGCGGATACGTAACATGTCGCCATGTCTCGTTGTCGCGGGGAGTGGATTGGTTTTCAAGGATTTGGTCAAAGATCAACCGAGCGGCAAAGGGTTTCACCAGAAAAGTATATTTATGTTGATTACCCTCTGGTAAACTAACAGTTAGCTATTGAAAGTGGCCCTAGAAACAGTGGATTTACCCATTAAAAATGGTGATTTTCCATAGTTACGTTAGTTTACCAGAGGGTAAGAATCATAGTCCCTGGTTGTTGAGTAAGTGTGTGGAAGAATGGATGCCATTTGTAGTATCCCGAGACATGTCTTGCTAGCCTTGCATACCACGGTGAAAACCTGGAGATAGACAGGTTTGCTCATTCTTGTGGGGAGAAGGGGACCAAAGTCACCACACAGCAGGCTATCTTCTGTCAAATTAGACTTCAAACTATATAAAAGTCTGATAGATGGACATAAGAAACCTCTCTGAACCCAACCTCAGCGAATGGGATTCCATTTTCAGCTTGCACTTCATCCATGGCACTCACTGGTTTTGTTGCATGCTTAAACTGAGATACTCAGCAAAACATTAAACATCTTTCAATATTGGAAACCCAATGCCATAAACCTACCATTTGGAGATGGTTTGTAGAACCCATTTATATTTTGGGGATGGCTTCTGACATTGGGTTTACCACATTAACAAGGATCATCATTCATTCATTATCATTGTCAACCATTACTAAGCATTCATCATCATTATCAACCATTATTAAGCGTTACTAAGCAATATTAACAATTATTAACCCTGATCAACCATTATTAACCATTATCAACCATTATCAACCACTATCAACCCTGATCAACCATTAAAATTATTAACCATGTTTAACCGTTATTAACCGTGTTTAATCGTTAAACAAGCCATCAAAATCCCATCTCCTTGTCGTCCCACAGGATGGCTCCATTGGCTCCATCCAAGTCCCAACGAATCCGATCCAGTAAGGGGCCAATCAACCTGTGGCCCGGTCACCCGGTTAGACGGGTCGACCGGAACCCCTGGTTGCCTTGGAAACGCCTTGGAAAACATAGGGGAGTTCCCACCGTTTTTTTTTTTAACCACCTAAAGTAGAGGATTTTTAAGAGGATTAAGATCCTGAAATGGGATGGCGGCCGTCCCTGGAAGATTGCTTTGCTTTCAAAACCCAGAATTGAACAATCTCAGGATATCATTTTCAGAAGAACCCGGTATAGGTTTGCACCCTAAACGCCAAAACAAGTGCTAAATGGATGTTCATCCAAATCCGGGTTCATCCCTAATAAATAGGATACCCATATGCTCCATGCATGGAACATTTACCTACATGTTTGTCACTTAGGTGGTTTAGGTCGTAAACTTTGGCAAATAGACCACACCTGCATTGGGGATAGGAAAAAAAATAGGTCTTGTAGATTCTTATAGTATTAACATGTATTAACCACCTGGATTGGTATAATCCACTCGGCATTGGCACCATTGAAAATTCCTGCCACGACGCTCGTAGGATGGCACTCGGAAGAGATTCTGCGCGAAGACCGCGCGCGCTTTGGTCAGCACCGGTACCGGGGGAGACTCGTGGTCCTCAACGAGGGTCAAGGCGGATCAGTCAGCTAAGTCAGCTACCCTCTGGTGAACTAACAGTTTGCTATTGAAAATGGCCATAGAAATAGTGGATTTTCCCATTAAAAATGGTGATTTTCCATAGTTATGTTAAATTACCAGAGGGTAAGTCAACGAACCAAACCGAATTGATTCACTAGGAAAAGATCCGGAAAAAGTGATCATCAGTGTCAATCTGCCACCGAACTATTCCCCTCCAATGAGACCATCCACGGGTCTTATTCGTTGGGAGTGAATCGGTGAACAGTTGACAAGAATGTTCACAAAGTAAAGCCACAATCTATTTCATCATAGTTGTATGGTCCTTTCACAACTAGATACAACCAGGAAACAACTAGGATCTGGTTGGCTGTGTCAACGCTGAAGAATATCAATCACTCGGAATGGATCATCCAAAATATGGTGGTAAGAAGAACAAATCTAACCACCAACCAGAGGATCTATTCTTGGATCTCCTTGTGGAAACCAAAAACATCCCAATAGATGCCCCATGCTAGAAATATGGTTTTCCCATGAAGAAAATCAAACAAAAAAACACACCTGAGCGGTGTTCAAAAGCCTCTGTCGTTTCATTCTACTCGATGGTCACTAGAGACAATGGATTGTGAGAATCCCCCCAACATATTGGTTTGTACAATCCCTTATAATAATCAACCACCAAGGGTCTTGAACCCCGTCCACTTGATCATCTTCCGCAAGGTCTCGACAGGTATACCCGGCCTGGTAAACATACAAAAAACTATTGAAAATGGCCATTGAAATAGTGAGTTTTCCCATTAAAAATGGTGATTTTCCATAGTTACGTAAATGTTTACCAGAGGGTAGTTCCTTTCGCAGCCCGAGCCGCATAGATATTGGGTGACACGAAGATGTCCAAGTCCGCCAGCAGATCCAAAGCCATGAAGAGACGCGTGGCACGGGAGAGGGCCTCGTCAAGTTACCATCTGAGAATCTGGCTATTTAACATAGCCATGGAAAATCCCTTATAAATGGAGATTTTAATGGGAAAATCATCTACAAATGGGCCATTTCCCATGGCTATGTTAAATAACCAGATGGTACATGCGATGGCCGAGCTGCTCATCCCACCATCTGGGTTATTTTTTTTAAAGGAAACATCAAGAAACACCAAGCTACACCAAGTCATCTGGCTGGCCAAATTCTTTTAGAAAAAAAAACACTACCCTCTGGTAATTTAACATAGCTATGGAAAATCACCATTTTTAATGGGAAAATCCACTATAAATGGCCATTTTCAATAGCTATGTTAAATTACCAGAGGGTAAGCTGAGTTAGTTCAGCTATTTGGGGCATGATTTCCCCGAATCCAATTCCCATCGCGGCTTCGTTTGAGAACACAATCTGGATCAGCAGCTGATCCAACTCGAAACACATCGCACCAAAAAAAATCATGGCTGCGTGAGTTTTTTCCGGGGTGGAATGTATAACATCATCTGGTAATAATATGAGATGCAAATTGCATCTAAATGCAATAATAAATGTGGATGTGCTGCTGTTCTTAATGGGATATATATATAATTATATAATATATATACATATATATTTATACAATTTTATACATATTTTTAAGACGTGACCTGTGAAGATCGAAGGATGAAAAGGTGCGATGATTGGCAAAAAAATGAGATTGAATTGCCAAACAACTTTGCCGGTCAAACAATCCGACCAAAAACATGTCAATCTGGGACCAAAAAAACGCAAATAATATGCAAATCATGGAACTTGAATTTGCAAAGTGAATTCTGACGATCAAAAAAGAACCACATTGGAACATAAATTTGGGACTTTTGACATAAGTGGATTTATACATCTGGAACATGCATGATTATACATTTTTCATATTTGAACATACATTTATATAGGTCTTTTTATGCCAACAAAGAGACAAAGTGGGACTTTGACCTGTGGGATTGAAGATAAACTCCCCAAGACTTGAAGCAGCCAAGTCTGCGAGATGGCCAACAAGAAAATGGAAGGTAGCAGTTAATATATCAATGGTTAATAGTGATTAATACTGATAACTGATGGTTACTAATGGTTAACAGTGGTTACTAATGGTGAATAATGGTTAATCAGGGTTAATAATGGTTACTAATGGTTAACAGTGGTTACGAATGGTTAATAACAATAATTGATGGTTGATGATGATAATTAATGGTTAAACATCAACAAAGTGTTCCACCAAGAGTATGATGGGAGCGCTGAGATCACCAGTTTTTTGGAACTTGTTCAGTAGGCAAATCATCTACAACTGGGTGATTCTTCCCCTGATTTTCTATGATTTTAGATGATGTTCCATGATCTTCCATGATTGCCCATGATCCTCCATAATTGTCCATTGTCGCCTGGTATTGTCCCCAAGGTTCGCCGCTGGCATCTCCGTCTTTCAGCACCTACGTCCGTTGGTCAATCTACCCATTTTGGGATGGACCGGCTGTGGATGGGTATGGTTTTTTTGTTACATAGCCAACTGGAAAATCACCATTTTTAATAGGTAAACCATCGAACTAAATGGGCCATTTTCCAGTTCGCAAACTGTTAGTTTACCAGAGGGTGTGGTATATAATGCAAAAAAAAGGTTTCAAGTAAGATAAATTAATCGTTTAATGATTATATAGATGCCTTTTTTGGCAACCCCCCGTCATAGAAAAGTTAGAAACCTGGTTAAAATGGGGCAAACATCATCGAACGTTCAACATCCTGGAAACACGGCTTGTCTATGTCTTTGTTGGGGGTGCAAAATAGTTACGACCAACTCTATATACCCTCTGGTAATGTGTTACATAGCTATGGAAAATCACCATGCTATTAATGGGTAATCCACTATAAATGGCAATTTTCAATAGCTTTTTGTATGTTTACCAGAGGGTAGATGGGAAGCATCATCTGATCGTTTCATGTACAAATGACATTTGATTGACATGCTTCACGGCCGTACTGCCCACAGCGACGAACTTGGAGGATCTCATGAATAGTATGAATCGGATGATGAGGATATGTTTATCCAAATTGATGGAAATTGCACAGTATCATCTTAGGATCTGGGATATATCCCCAAATGGCCACTTGAAGAGGGACAAAAACGATCCATCAATGGAGTTAGATGTTTTCACCTAAATTTTCACACAAACCTATGTAAATATATATATATAATATAACTATATATATGTATATATCTGAAGTCATGGGGCCTACCCCCAATCATCCAGTTGTCATGAATGGCCATCACTTCGTATTGAAACCTATGGTGACTCGGGGATCCCCCATTTTAAGAAAATCCCATGTGACATCACATACAGCCCGAGATTGAGCCTCTATTCGCTGAGGATCACAAGTGTGCAGCTGGCCTAGCAGCGAGACCAGAACCAGCAAGGACTTTGGAAAATCATTGATAAAAAATAGGCCTTGTATATGGATATATATGGTAGGTACCTCCAAGTTGGGTTCCTGAAATTGCCATTGATACTATGAAAATGCATCTGATAACATTGGCAAAATCAATGGCAAACCATAGGTGATTCTCCTGATATCATTGATGTGTCCATTGATCGTCCCCAGAAGGTGGTGACTGAGCTAAGTTGCTTGAACTGTGGCTTTTACGGTAGATATATGATATATCTAATAAGATATATTATAAATATTATATTATATATATATATATTACATATATATAATATGATATATTATATTATATATACATATATATATATACATATATTGTATGTACTGTATATATATATAGTTAATGAAATTTATAAACCCATTCTAACTGGCAACCACACATCACCAGGGGAAAAAAAACAATCGCTGCGCCTTGGATGATCCTGAAGCGGCAGTAGATGTGTCCCAAGCGCTCCTGGGACAGACGACGGAATTGCCACATCTGCGCTCGGTGGATCAAGGGATTATCCGATTGGAAATGATTGGAAGACATCTATGTCAAGGTTTATTATATATACATAGTTATATATAATATATACATATAGATATAGATATAGATACAGATATATATATATATATACATAGATATAGATATAGATGTACAGTAGATGTAGATGTAGATAGAGGATCTGAACTTTCAAGATCCAAAACTACTTTCTCCTGGAGCTATCAGTCGCTCCAGGAGACATGGAGATTCCCCCCACCTGCCGAAGTTGCTGCAAAATGTAGGCTACTTTCATAATAATCCCTTCCCCCTACTACCTGAGGTGTTTATTATTTTGGGGAGGGGGGTTTAGTATTAGGCGGAAGGGATTACTCAATCCATGTCATCCTTGATTTTCGGAAAATGCTGGAAAATCCCAGGAATTTCAGATGACCAGCCCAGCACCAGCCCCCAACTACCCAGGCTGGGTCGGTTTCACTCCTCCACCTGATCCATGCTCTCCCTGCGCATCCCTGCGCCGTCGTTGGAGATCTCTCGGCGCATCCACAAAGGTGCCGGGGCCTGGAGGACCCTGCTGAAATGAACCTGGGAAACCCCTCAGCCCCGTGCAGCTAGACCCTCTAAGTACCCTCTAAGTACCCAAGAAAAAGTGGCAAAAGATGATAAAAGCACCAAAAATGATGGGGTCAAATATCAATTTTTATTGGATACTTGAAGGGTTGAAGGGTCTTAGCATTCTAAGGAGTATTTGATCGAGAAAAGTATCTATAAGGTGATCCTCCGTCATCCAGAAAATCAATCATGAGCCCAATGCTTCGTCACAATGACTCTCACAGTATATATATTATATACATGAATATGTGTATACTATATAATATAATAATAATAATAGAATGTATATATATATATTATATATATTATGTATATATATATATTATACATGATGTTGAGATAACTTCCCTGACATTTGCCATCCCTCAAGACAGGGTCCATGGCTACTTGCGCGAAACTCGGATCTTAAAAGTTCATCCCCGCATCACTAGAAGGCCCACCTGGATGACCCACATGTGGAGACCTGAAAATGCTTGATGTACACCCCAAAAATCGATAATGGGGTACCACCATTTTAGGAAAATCCTATGAAAATGAATGATGTAAACATTGATAAACCATTTTTGGGGTTCCTAATGGGGTTACCCCAAAATTTTCGAGAAGGAAAATCATGATCAACATGGATAAACCACACGAAATCGCGGTGTTTGCCCTAAATGTTTAAGATATTTTCAGACTCCAAAAGAACTCCACATCTTGTGACGCCTCAGGAACTTCCAACGGCCTCACCCAGCGAGCTACCACGGTTTTTTCCATTCAAAAGGGTTGTTGTGAAGAAAATCTGTGGATTATCCAGAATTATCCATAAGATGTCAGAATATATCACCCTTGGTAATCCCAGGTAACGCATAAGATAGAAGAATTAGAATATGTCCAAAAATTACCAGAGTTCAGAGGAACAATGGCATCTCCAACCCAAGGTGGATAAAGCTGTCCAGCCGAAAATATCCGAACATGTTTTTAGAGGGTAGCCACACACTTGGACCGCCATGCCTGTGCAAGCTCTCGCAGCCTCTCACGGCTAAAAACCCCAATGTCTGGGAATTCAAATACGGAATAAAGGTGAGATAAACGGAACCATTGGATTGTAAGGGAGCTCACCTTTTCTGGACAAACCCACAAAACACGATCTTTCATTTTTTCACAAAAAGATCTGAAAATCAGAAGCAACGACAGCAACGACAGCGCAACGACAACGACCACGGCCTGCTAAAGCAGCAACGGGCATAGCTCTGGAAATCCCCATCGCTCCAGCAAACCCTGGGCTGAGCTGTGTTCGTGCATCATAGTGTGGATATAATAGCTATTGTTTGGCGGTTTGGTTTCATTGTAGATTGTACTGTAATATATTGCATATCATGTTAATATATATATATAACGTATACAAATATTCATGTATATAATGTATATATGATAGATTATGAATTATAATGGTACATACACATGCAATGCTCGCACATGTCAGGAAAGTCCGAATGCAACACATGTTGAAATAATCTTAAATATGTTGAAAGTTGAAATCATGATCCAAGCACAACATGTTTCAAAACAGGGGGAAATGACTCCAACTTACTGTACGAAGTACTTAGATCATGAACAGTCTACAGAGATTGGTGACAAAACCCACTCGGCAAAGACCATCAAAGACCTCATGAAATGATGGTAGATGTTGAGGGTCCTCATTTTCGAACATACTGCTCCATCTTGTAGAGTAGATGTTCTTCAGGCAGAATCCTAATATCATCCAAACATATCCAAACTGTCATGAGCCACGATGATGTATTTTCCCCCCAACGATGGTGTCACGGCTGCACCAATGCCGGATGATCTAACCAAGCATCCCATCATCCTTGGTGCCACCTGGGTCCATCGGAACCATCGGAACATCTCTGACTTCCAGATACTTCCAGCAGTCAGATTCTCTCAAAGCGCATTCAAAAAACAAAGCTGGAACTTCAAGAATCATCCAAAAAAATCTAAAAATCATCCAAAATCATCAAAAAGAAAATCATTATTTAAAAAAATCGTCAAAAAAAAAAATCACGTTAAAAAATCTCAGTTTCTGCATGGAAGTCCCGAGTCCCCCATGGAACGGTGCCTGTCAGGCCATCGCCCGACCAGCCCATGCCACAGCAGAGCTTGTGAAGCAGGTCGTCCTGGTAAGAACCGGTGCAATGGTGGTTAATGGTGGTTAATGGAGGTTATTAATGGCTAATAGTGAATTAATGGTGATTTACATGAATACCCATAATATACCCTCTGGTTATGACTAACATAGCCATGGTTAAGCCATGGCCCTAATCGAAATAGATGGTTTACCTATTAAAGATTTGGTGATTTTCCATGGCTATGTTAAATAACCAGAGGGTAAAACCTCATTTCTCCAGTCTATGTATAAGATTGTATAAGATTGTACAAGGCTAGTTTGGGTGGCATACGCCATTTTCAGAAATAGAAATATCAGATTATGTTTGGCAATTATTCATGTTCCACCATTGAAATTGCTATTCTGCAGGTATTATCTGGTAATACAATCCTTTTCAGAAACTGATATATCAACATGTTTTGCTATTCTGGCCATGTTGACATGATAGTATCAGATACCCTATAGGGAAACTATTGGAAAACAATGACAAAGTGGATGGAATCGGGTACCCTATTTCAGACAAAACCATGGTTGGGTGAACTTCCTACCAGCTCCCCTTCGGTGTCCAACATGGCTGGTCAATGGATAACGTAGCACTGAACCAAAGACACGTTTGGCACTGCTTTCCCACTGCAATGTCATTACAACAAACAAAAACGTTTGTTAAAGATGCAAACCAACCAAGAACGGGACCTAATGCACGGTCTATCATGTGTTCTATGAAAAAACTTCCGTCGAGAACACCAAAAAATTGAGAGCATTCATGAGGTTGACTTCAAAAAGCATTTATGTAAAATTTCGTTGTGTTTCAACGCAGCATATCCCTAAGTGAGTTTTTGATGGTTTATGGAAAATGTAAAAGTCATTTGTAAAAAAATGTGTGTGGGGCTCAAGAATTTTTGTATTAATAATCCTTTAAATGATGGAACTGCAGTACAATTCCTTCCCCCAACAGATCAAAATACCCCTCAGCAACCCATCATTGGGGGGGGGCCATGCGAGAAGTCGGGTCCGTCTCGCTTTGAAGCACCAGCTCCATCTTTTGCATACCTGAGATTGGCCCCTGGCCCCTGGCCCGGATACCATGGGATGTCCTGCTTTTACAGCAATTTTAGCGGGAAAAGGTTCAAGCACAGGGTTTTTAGGCTTGATTTGGTTGATGTTTCGGTGGAAGTCGGGGGATTTTGGATGGAGCTTTGGGATGATTTTGAGCTGAGATTCATCTCACTTTACACCAAAAAAAGGTCAAAATCAAAGATGTCCAAAATCCGAGTCTTTGCCACTAATTAATTAGAGTGGTTTGAGGGAGCCCATATTCATCCATGTGTAAAACGTGTTGAAAAGGATGGGAACTCCGTGCCATTCACTTAGTTATCAGCTGTCCTTGTTGAAAATAGCCATAAAAAATGGCTTGCTAAGTACCCCTTGAATATCCGATGATTTTGCATTGGCAAAAAAGTCAACAATTTTCCATCCGTTTGCCTAATAAAATCCCAGTAATCCCCCCATTTCTTCGCATCAAACTCTGGACAGAATTGATGAGCGGCGAAATCCGGCCAGGGAATCTGTTGCCAGAGCGGCCTGCCCAGGGAGACGCATCATCCACCATGAGGCCTCCCCAACTCGGTACATTAATTAAAACTTGTGATTTAACGAATTTAACCACAAAAAGAATGGATTTACTTAGGAAAAAATCGGGATTTAACATGACTTAACTATGAAAATTTGGGATGATAGTTGGTTTTTGAATGTTTTTGATAGGTTTCTGTTGGTTTACAACATCAATAATTAACACTAAAGGAGTACAGTATAGAGTTTAATTTACAGTTGAATGGTTTCATTGCAAATATGAGTTTCTTTGATGCAGATCCACCCACTTTGCACAGCCTCTCAAAACGGGCTCTTCAATGGGTGCTTGAATGTGCTTGACCAGCCCGAAACAGAGATGTCCCAGATCACTTCGAATGGATGACAGTTCAAAAAGCAGTGAAGATCCAAAATGGATAAAAATCAACAATCGCCTCGAAAAAGGCTTCCCCATTACAACATTCAAAATTGCAAATGATCCAAAACCATCCAAAACCCTCAACACCCCCCAAGTTGTAACTCAGTTATACAGTCATACACCTGTCCAACTCTACACATGTCCGTTGTAAACCCCACTTAACGTAGCTATAAAATGTTATAAACCAACTTGGCGGTTGTTTGGGCCCCTTCCTGTTCCCTTCTGTTTGCTGTTCGAGGCATGCGACAGAAGCCGTTTCGGGGTCTTTGCGAAACAGCACGGGCCGCAGCCGTGACATGCGCCACGCGCCCATTGACGGCGCAGCGCGGGTGCGCGCGCTCTTCGCGCTCTTCGTGGAAAGTTGATGGGATGCCACACTGAGCTCGTTGATGGGATTCGGGTTTCAACACTTGTGGTGAATTTTCACTACCCCCATCTGAGAAACCCTCAATTTTGGGGTCTGGATGGAGATATCTATTGTTGGGCAGAGGTTTTTGTCAACAATCATGCGGAGTTTTGTTCAATCAATGAAGTAGGGAAACCATGTGAGTGTCAAGGAAAACAAAAAAAACGCCTTTTCCAAAGATCATCTTGAAGGGTGCCCAGATGTCATGGCTCTCATGTCTTTGCGATCAGCCGGAATGTAAGCAATAATCGGTCGCTGTGCTGTAAAACCAGTGAAAAAGGAGGGGCATGATGAAAACCAAAACTGAAAACAATGAAATGGCATGACATCAATGAACATGTATCAAAGAAACAGCTTGGCAAAAATGCAAAAGGACATCTCTCAACCTGGTGGTTGACTTTCCCATTTCGATGAGTCTCGTGACTCCTGTGCATGAATGAGCTGACTGACTGATTGTGAATTCTTCTGGCTGCCTTCCAATGTTTCACCAACCTAGCGGAAGGTCATCTTGGAGTCATTTCCGGTACGCATGTGCACTTGTGCATGTTAATCCATGAGGATAGAATTGAAACGAAAATGTTGCCATGCGTTGCCTTTATATGAATTTTCAAGAATCCGGGCAGGGTACCAAGAAACTGTATCCTAAGAAGGCCCAATCAAGGTGCGGGTTCCTATTCTCTGTGCTAAATGGGCATCGTCCATCATCTCCACACCGTGATGTTCCATCTTCGATGGAGATCAGACAAGCTCGCTGCGGAAGTGGCGCGATTCGGGGGGACCTGACAGTCCGTGCTCCAGAGCCTTGTGGAAGTTCCATCTTCTTTGGGAAATGGCTGTTGGTTAAAAATGGGTGACCATTCCGGACGTATTACCCGCTGGTAATTCAACATATTATGGAAAATCAATGAAAATCTCCATTTTTATAGGTAAATCATCAAACTAAATGGGCCATCTGTCCCATAACAAACTGTTGGGAGACCAAGTTGACCCATTTGCAAATGTAAATGAACCTCAGCTTGTAACGACAATAAACGTTGTCTTTATCGGGAATAATCATGGTTTATGTAGATGGTTCAACCACTATAGATGGCTGGAAATAGATGTTTCACTGTTGTGGCCCCCGTGGCAAGTTGGTTTATAGATGGGCCGCCTTGCAAGATTCTTCTGAATCAACTGATCTCTGAGTAGATAACTGCCCTCTCGTAATCAAACCTGGCAACAAAACACATCCGTATCTATCTATCTATCTATCTATCTATCTATCTATCTATCTGTCTATCTATCTATCTATCTATCTATCCTTAATTCGTGAGAAACTTGTTTTTCTTATATGATTTGAGTCCATTTTACATGATGATCCAGCCATATCCAGTCATGTTTCCACCACATCTTACTCCAACACACTTCAACCATGGCGCCGCCGCAGCGCAGTTCAGATTAAAAAACAGATCCAACGCCACCGATGGCGCCATCAATCCGGGCCCTCAGCCACTGGCCTCGTGGAGTGGAGCCACTGATCATCACTGGCTATTCGGCTACCCTCTGGTTATTTAACACTTCGCCAACTGGAAAATCACCATGCTATTAATAGGTAAACCATCTATTTCTATGGGCCATGTTCCATAGCTATGTTAGTTTACCAGAGGGTATTTGTTGATCCCAGAAATGATCAACCGTCTGGATCTTTAGTGATGACTCATGAGTGGTCATCTAAGCATCCCTTGAAAACAACACGACTCGGGAAAACCAACTGCCGGATGTTTGATCCCCAAAAAACCCATCCCGATTTGGATCAAAATCCCGAAAAAATCGAATCAACAGCCTGGTAATTTGGTGAACCCTTTCCCTGAGCTCCCAGGCACATTCCCTCGACCACCCTGACAGGTGTTGATTTCTGGCACCAAAACATGTCGTGGCACCGAGAAAACAACTGGAGATACTTCAAAATCACCAAAACTGTGGGTCCAAGAATATCTTCCCAGATCTTAGAAGATCTTAGATTTAAGAATCGCCACTAAGATGTCTTTTTCAACGTGAATTGATGCGAATCATTCAAAACAGCATGCTTTGGATCATCTCCGCCCCAAGGTCTTCTCCTCGAAGTCGAAGCGGGAATCGGTGTACCCAATCTTCTCTAACCAATCTGTAGAGATTTGATGTTCCAAAAAATGTTGATCTGTCTGCCACAAAACTGCGCAATGTTGGGCAAGAGACTATCTCCGTGGATTTTTGAGGACCGAGGATTTTCCAGTCTGGGAGGACACCCATTCACTCCTTTTGGATACCTTAAAAAATCGTTAAAACCTATTAGGATGTCATATTTTTTTGGCAAATGAAACCAGTCTTCATAAATACCCAAACATCATTTTTTCATACCTAAACATCATTTTTCCATATATTCTTCTTGATGAACATTCATTAATTTTCCAGTTGTGCCTTGTTCACCAGTTGGATGACCTATGTCTTTCCCGGTGCACCTCGTAAGTGTCCTCCTCATCGACTGGCCTGGGAATGGTAAACATAGCGCCTATAAAAATGCTGATGACTGGGGGATGGTTTATGACATTGT